GGCGGAGGGTGTAAGATGATAGAGGGTTTTTTGGAGGTATAATTATATCCATACAGCAAAATGCACAGATCTTAAGTGTGGGATGAATTTTGATAAATGCCTACATTTGTTTACTCCCCCTGCCCCCAGAGGTTTTTTAAAGGCCGAGTTTCAGGTGGCTGCAGATCCTAAGTGAAGCTACCTCAAAAGAAGCTATATGTACCTGAAATGAGAGAAGCGACAAGGGCTGGAGCTATAGATATGAAAGGTAGATGCCAGCAGGTAGGAATTTTGTGAGCAAATGAACACAGGTGTAAGAAGGGGTAACTGGAGAACAGGAAGGCCTAATTTTGCCGACATAAGTGCACAGACTTCTCTTTTTTCAGGTCTTCGACCTCATACTTAATTCTCTTAAGGGACAAAGAAATCACTTTCCGAGTTGGCTTTTGCCAGTGTCTGCCCTACCGAACTTGCAGAATGGTATAGCTGGGGGGAAGGGAGCTAGAGGATCCCACAGGGTTGTCTGCACCTCCTCCAAGCAGCTCGCTCTACTACATGCACAACTATATTCCTGACCTGGGGAGCCCAGCTTCCTCTCTGCAGCAGCCTTGCAGCAATACCCTCGGTGTTTGCAGCGAGTGCAAGCTTGCAAGAGGCAGGAGCACTGTAGCTAGACTTGGGGGGCGGTGGGCGTGGCCGCGCTCCCTCGCGCCGCTCCCGCCCAGGCAGCCCCGGGAATGTTCTGAAAAGTATCCAAAAGTTCTGCGCCGCGCGCGCCAAAAGAAAAAAAAAAAGGGCACAACCCCCCACTACTCTGGGCGTTGCGTGTGTCCGTCCTCGCCATTCTGGCTGCACCTCCCGCAGCAGCGCACACGCTTCCTGCGCCTTCTTCTGGGAAGCTTCGCCGTCGGCTGGGCGCTTCCCTTGCAGCAGTCTCCAGACCCGAGAGGCGGTCAGAGTCCTTGCTCTTCTCTTTGGAGCACCATGCCCAACGACGACGCATTCAGCAAGCCCTCGGCGCCGTCGGAGGCTCCGCACGCCCCCGGGGCACCGCCGCAGGGCAAGGCCGGGGGCTTCGGCAAAGCAGCCGGGGCGCTGCTTGGGTCGGCGGGCACCGGGGGCGGCAGCAGCGGCGGCTCGGGCTCAGGGGCGTCGGGCGTGGGTGCCGCCAGCAAGAAGTCCCCGAGGCTGCCCAAGTGCGCGCGATGCAGGAACCACGGCTACGCGTCGCCGCTCAAGGGCCACAAGCGCTTCTGCATGTGGCGTGACTGCCAGTGCAAGAAGTGCAACCTGATCGCCGAGAGACAGCGCGTGATGGCCGCGCAGGTGAGAGCGGGCGTCCAGGGACCGGGGTTCAGCCCCGAACTCTTTGGATAAAGTCCCTCGGACCTGGGCGAGCCACGCGGGGCCTGGGTTCGGGAGGGAGGCGGCGGTGCTAGCGGTGTCCGCGGAACGCTCGGCCGCGGCTCCCAGCCACGCGCCGAGGGACTCGTTTCGGATCCCGCCGGCCGAGCTGGGCGTTGCGGGGTTTGCTCTGCTCCAGAGTTTCAAGGATCCGTGACCCGGCCCTCCGGCGAAAAGTTGCAGGGTTCGCCCCTTCGGGGATTTCCAAGCTCCCTAGAATCTCAGATCCCGCTTTGGTTGCAGAGTTGCCGGGGGCGCTCTGCTCGGGAGACCCCGGGGCCCCGGAACTCAGCCTCTGGCGGCGAGTTGCGGGGTTGGGTCTGCGGGGGAAGGGTTCTCGGGATCTTCGACCCCGCACCCGGCAGCGTGGCTGGGTTTGCCCCTTTTGGGGGTCCCCGGGATCTCTGACCTCGCTCTTTGAGCAAAGAGTTGGGGGGTTCGCCCCCTCCGGGATCCTTGACTCCGCCCCGGAGCAGAGTTGCGCTTCAATTAGGGACGGTGCTTGAGGGTGCCGGCGCGGGTTTCTCGTTTGGGCAAAACCGATCCCGGGCTGTTTACCCGTACAACGTGTCGGGAAGCTGTTTTTCTGGAAAAGTCGCTGTAACGGACACCAGCGTGGCGTGGTCCTCGTTGTGCCCTTGGCGCACTTTTCGCCCCGCGTGGACCCAGGCCGAGGACCTCAGCCATTTTGAGCGCCGCGGAATTTGTATTAACATTTTAAAATGTGCGGTCTCAACTCGTTATTCAAGTACGACTTACTTTGAGTGTATTTTTAAAACAGTCTTAAGAATTTTTTAAAAATATGCGCTGTGAAGAAAACGCAGGGATTTGAAGTTTCGTCTGTCGTTCGTGGTTTTTTTTTTTTTTTTAATTTTTTAAGCGGCAAAAGCAGGACAGTAATTTAGCATCTTAACGGAAATAGTTAATGTAGTTGGTATCCTACGAGGATTTTTAGAAGAGAATAATACACATTCTATCCAGCTAAAAGTTTTCATTCTTTTAAGACAAGTAATTTAAAATGAAAAGATACCCAAGAAATATTTTCCAACGATGTGCTACTTTTGATTAGGAATGTGTAAATTTCCTCTGTTGAAAATGATTTAGATAAGAGTGTTGAAGAGGATTGCACAAACGCTTCGATATTATACTTTTTATAGCCATCTGGTTTTTAAAGGTGTGTTTTAAACTAGATGTATTTGGGCTTCACAGATGGTGAGTGCAGTTAAGAAAATGTAGGTTTTTCTTGGTTCCTTCTCTATAGATTTTTAGCGTAATCTATAGTGGATGAAAAGAATAAATTGAGTGTAATATTAAAATGCATCACAATGAGCTTACTGAAAAAAACTTAGGGACATTTAAATGGTATTTGTAGGTAGAAAAATATTCTAAACATTAAGTTATTGGGTTAAATAGCGTGGAAAGTATGCTTGGGAGAGGAATTTTCCTCAAAATGTAATAAAGTTATTTATCCAAGTAGGGCCATTAATTCTGAATAAGCTTTATTAGTAGCAACGCTAACTTGGAAGAAGGCTGTTATGTTAAAAACAAAAGCAACTTGGGATTACTTTTATAATACGAAACTTAAGTGTTTTCCACAGCAGAAGGTTTGTGCTGTACTAAATGAAACCTTTCAAATCCATTAACAGCTGTTTTTTACTCATTCTAAAATAGTTTGAAATTGATCTTAGCTGTGACTCTAAAATAATTGCATTTTTTGTCAATTGCTCCACCTTCCCCGTTTAAATAACGTTTCCTAAGAACACTTGAGAGGTCTTTGTAAAAATGTCTTTAGTTATGGAGTGTTTTGTGCGTTTTATGCATGCATGGGATTTGTGTAAATCAAGGTATAAATATGCATTGACATACTTCACAGGTTTGTGGATATTTAATTATTTCGGATAAGATCCTTAATATTCTGTTTCTAGGCTTCTTGGTTAATCATAGAAAATTCAAGATTTCAGCTTAATTATTTTATCTTAATTGATTAAGGATTTTATTCTAAGTTGAAGACTCCTGTTGTAATGAGTAAAATTACTTGCAAATTAATCAGCTTTCTAAATTTGGAGTACACTTTTCCTAAAACATATAAATTGTAGTTGTGCTTCTGGATTGCCTTTTGGATTTCAACTTTTGGCTTGTCTTTGAGACTCTAAAGTACAGGTACTTTCTCATTTCCTTATTACCAAGAGTCAATTTCAACAGAAAGTCTCGTTTTTTTGTTGTTGTTGTTGTTACATGTAGTAAGCAAAAATACAATTTATTTTCTTCATACCTCTTTTTTCAACCTTTAACAATATTATTTAAGAGCAGATAAATTGAAAAAGGACCATGAGGAGTTTCTTAGGTGTGTTAGGTCCTTTCCAGCCCCTGCTTCCATCTCCTTCCTTCCTGCCTGGAATATCACACCTGTCCTCCCTTTCTCTTCACTTCCAACCTCTCCCTTCTCCAGAGTTGTCAGCACACAGCTTCCATCCTTTTCTCCATTGCTTGTTCACATACTCTTTCCACCCTCGAGAACAGGGCCCTGTGAGGTTTCCTAAGCAGTCCCTGCCTTCTCTGCTCCTTGTTCCCATTTTCTGCCCCTTCTTTACCTGTCCAAGTCCTACTCAATAGTCAAGGCCCTGTTCCTATACCACCTCTGGCTGCTTCTTAAACTTAAAGCCATTTCTGTCTCTGATTTTTTTCTGTAGGATTGCTGCGTACCTCCCCTGTGGTGTTTGCCACATTCTGTCTTGAATTGCATGTTTGCCTGCCTTCTGTTTCTCCTTTTAAACAGTGAGTACCTTGGGATCTAATCGTACTGTATCTTGCTGGTCACTGTTCCCTGTACAGTGGCCTTTTACAAATTTGTGGCATAAAGGAATAAGCGATCCCATTTTCCTTCCTTCCTTAATCTATCAGTGCTGACTTCTACTCTTCACATTGAATTCCTCTGCTTGGCTGATGATACCATTTTTCCTGATCCTTCCTAGCCAACTTTATTTCAGGCTACTCTCCATACTCATTTGTTTAATGAACATTTTTTTGAGCACCTACTGTGGGCTAGACACTCTGGCTCCAAACCATTTCTCAGCTTTGGCTGCACATCATTAGTACTTGGGTAGCTTTAAAAAGAAACGAGATTCTCAGACCTTACCCTGGCACTAATGGATCACAATGTTGGGTAGGTGGGGCTTCAGTGGTTTTGATGAATCTGCACAGGTAATGCTTCTGGTGTGCTAGAGGATGACCCTGCTGCCTTGTGCTTATAGGTGGCTCTGAGAAGGCAGCAGGCCCAGGAGGAGGAATTGGGGATCAGCCACCCCATCCCACTGCCCAGCGCTGCTGAACTGCTTGTCAAGAGAGAGAACAATGGCAGCAACCCCTGCCTAATGATTGAGAGCAGCAGCTCCTCGCAGCCCCCGCCACCCAGCACCCCCACCACTGCAACTTCAGGTAACCTGGAGGGCCCGAGGTTCACGTTGTGGCTGGGTGTGGGGAAGAAAAAGGGCCATGGCCACAAAAGCAGAGTCTCAGGATCATCCTGAGCTACGTTTCATATTCAGAGCTTAGTCAGTTTTCTTAATGGGTTGGTTCTCCTTCTGAACGTCTGTGTTTGGCTGCCTCACAAAGAAGATGGCCACGTATCTAGAATTGGAAGTTCGACACCTCCACTTTCCTGCTATTAGAGGAATGAGATTCCATATTTTATTTCAATCCACTCCTCCATTTTTGGGTCCTCTTGGTGGGAGCTAAAAGATCTTTGTTTTTTAGAACTAAAAGGTCACTTCTTTGTCAAGGCCTGGTCTGAAAAGGCCAAATCCTAGGTGTCAAGTTTCAGTGGGTACTGGGAAATGAGAAGGCATGTCCCAATGTCTTAAATTCTCTCCTGTGTGCTAAGGTAATACCAGGGGCTATATGTATGCTAATTCACTTCATTTAATTCTTAGAAGGAAGTATTAATTCTATCTAATACTTGTGAAGACTGAGGTGTAGGAAGTTTAAGTGACTGGCTAAATTTGCAGAACTAGAAGTTCTGAATTAGTCCATCTGCCTCTAGAGCTCACTGTGCTTACTGCACTGGGTTTCCAAATTACCCTAAGCATCATGGTGGTCTAGAGTTGGACTGTCAAATATGGAAGCCCCTGGACACATGTGGCTATTTAAATTTAAATTAATTATATTGAAATAAAATTAAAACATTCATCTAAAGAAGATAAACAGATTACCAATAAGCACATGAAAAGATGCTAACCCTTCACTGATCCTCAGGGAACTGCAAATCAAAACTAAATGAGATACCATCTCACACTATCAGCGTGGTTACTGTAAAAAAAAAAAAAAAGCCCAGATAAGTTGGAACCTTTGTGATGAGAATGTAAAATGGTATGGCTGCTATGGAAAACAGTGGGGTGGTTCTTCAAAAATTGGAACTCGAATGACTATATGATCTAGTAATTCTACTTCTGGTTATATACCCAGAAGAATTGAAAGCAGGGTCTTGAGATTTTCGTATACTCATGTTCATAGTAGCATTATTCTTAATAGCTAAGATGTGGAAGCAACCCAAGTGTCCATTGACAGATGAATGGATAAGCAAAGTGTGTTATATAAATACAGTGGAATATTACTAATATTCAACTTTGAAAAGGAAGGAAATTCTGACATATGCTACAACATGGATGAACCTTGAGGACATTATGCCATGTGAAATAACCCAGTCACAAAATAACAAAGACTGTATGATTCCACTTAAAGACTTAGAGTATCCAGAATCATACAGTGGAATGGTGGTTGTCAGGGACTGGGGGAGAGGAGAATAGAGAGTTTCTGTTTAATGGGTATGGAATTTCAGGCTCACGAGATGGAAAGAGCTGTGTAGATGGATGGTAGTGATGGTTGTACTTTATAAATTTATTTAATACTACTGAACTATACACTTAAAAATGGTTAAGCTGGTAAATTTTATGTGTATTTTACCACAGTAAAAAATAAAGTAAATTTAAAACATTCAGTTCCTCAGCTGCACTAGCCACAGTCCAAGTGCTCAGTAGGTACCTATAGCTTGTTGAATAGTGTGCATTTCCATTTCTCACAAAGTTCCATTTGACAGCACTGGTCTAGAATGCAGATGCTCTAAGAAATCCAAACAAAGATCTGTGAAATGCTGTTGGCGATAAATGCATATATTACATATTTAATAATAGGCTGAGATTCACAGAATATCTATGTCTTTTAGCCTGCTGAGGTTCTATGAAATACAGCCTTGTGGTGTGGTGCCTCTAATCTTTTCATGAGCTACTCAGTTTGCTGTGCTTAACCATTGGGCTCAAATTGCTCATCTACTTGTCATTAACTAGCTGTGCAACTTTGAACAAATCACTTAAGTTCTCTGAGCCTTTTGCTCCCTCTTAAAAAAAAGTAGGGAGAGAAAGGATTTACCTGATCAAAAAAAAAGTAATTAAAACAATAAAAAGAAAACTATTATTTCAGCAATAATCTCGTACCAAACTATATAATGAACCATTTCTACTATGTGTTCTTAAATCTAGATGAACTTAAATGACTACTAGTCATTTTAAAAATTGTTTTTAATAACAATAAATTTTTTAATATTAAAAATTTAAAAAAAGTAGGGAGGGAACCTTGGAGAGTTTTGAAGATTCTATAAGTCTTGACTTTTATAAGGAAGGAGAAGGTAAGCAGGCACTAAAGAAAGCAGGTGAGAGGGGGAACCATAATCTCTGCGTTGCAGGTAGGTATGTCTCTATGTCTGTCACTGTATGTCTACTGGGGCTATAGGTTCTGTAGTTAACAAAAGGAATGTTATTATTTTCTTTTGGCTTGGCTGCTCATAATACATACTTATAACAGTTTCCAAACTTTTTATAGAAAGGAAGGAGTATATCCATCAGAAATGTGATCTTCACATTTTGGAATTTTAAGCTGTGTCCAAGGTTAATTGCCAAATGATACATACCTGGTCAGGGCTGATGTGGACTTAGCTGAAGGGCTGAGGTGGAAACTGGGTGTATCAGAAGAGTAAAGAAGGGAGGAACTTATTTGGTGGTCACAAACATCTTATGAGGTAGGAATTATTATTCCCATTTACAGATAAGGAAGCCAGTGCTAAGGAAATTGCCCTAGAATAGAGCTGAGTGGAGCTGGGATTCAGTCTAGGCCTGTCTGGTTCCAAAGTCCATGGATTTTCCATTTCAGCTGCCTGTGAAGAGAGACTATGGGAACAGTTGCCATGTTTCCTTGGAAAATGAGCAAGTATGATTAGAGGCTGCAGTTTAATCTTCAGAAGGGATTCAGGGCTAATGGGCAAATAAATTTAGGAGCAAATGTCTCTGCTATTCTTCCTTTGCATAGAAGGCTGCAGCTACTGGTCTTCATGAGAGAAATACAGGGGTAGGCCCATGATAGAAAAATGTCAATGCTGGGCATTTTGTGGGAGACCACAGTTGAACATTGTCTAGCCTGCTGTCCTGCATTCCACCTTGGAAGGGATGTCAGAATTTGATTGTACACCCCAAGGTAGCAGAGCTTTAGAGAAAGATCTCAGGTTAGATGGAGTTCAGAATGACAAAGAAGTTCTCCCAGCATATTTTCAGAGTGGCATTAGGGAAAGTTACAAATAGAAGCAGCAGGAAAGCAAGATAGAAGGTTCAGGGTCAAGGAGAATGTGACCAGATTCCTTCTTTGCTTCTGAAGCTGATAGACCTTGGAGTCATTTTGAAGTCTTGAACCAACATTCAAAGGGAAGGGAATGTGGAGGCCAAAAAAGCGTTGTGCTCATGTGCTCATGTGCTCATGTGCTCAGGTGTGGGTAGGGAGGCATTGCTTTGGAAGCTCTCCCTACTGAAGAAGGATGGTCTGTCCCCTAGCCCGCACATCTCTATGGGGCAGGAGCCTCAGATACATCATCTTTACTCACTGAACTTGTACCAAAGCTCCCGAGTTGGGATTGATAACTTTCGGACTGGGCCTGGGGTATGAGCAAGAGAAAAACAAATGCCAGTAGACTTAAACTACGTGAACACATAGAGCAAGAAAGAGAAAGAGAAGAAGGAGTTAGGGAAGTAGGGGAAAGAGAACCAGAGATACTGACCGACTGAGTGACTGGGAAATATCCTTTAAGTTTTATGCAGCGCATGGGGCCCAATTTCTTAGATAGCTTGCTGCTAACAAATATGTAGCTCATATTAAGTTCCCAGAGATTAGGTTTTATTTAAAATAACATATAACTTTCTGCAGGTAAAGAGTACTCAATTTTAGAGTACAAAAGCATATTCAGAGAAAGGTAATTGTTCTTCCAATACTAATCCGCAGGCCTCTTTGTCATTCCAAGATTACGTGCTGCATGTACAAGCTTACGTATCTATTGATCATTTTTGTGTATGCGTCCTATATTTATATAACATAATGAGAATGTATTGTTCCCACCCTTGTGAAATTTTTTCTTTCATTTAAAACAGCTTAGAATGTTTTAATGGCCTAGTATTTCATTATATAGATGTGGAAGGATAGGATTTGAAATAATTTAGTGAGAGATGGAAGTGGTATTGAGTTGTTATGGAATAGTAAAACCTACCAACCTGGCACACATAGGGACAAGTTGCTAATCTCTTTCTAATACCTAATGTTTAGTGTCTACAGGGCAGGAGCTTACTGAAATTCAGTAGATTTTCACGTCCTTGAAGTTTCTTAGTTATCTCCTTTTGGCTTCCAAAAGTGAGTATGAGAAATGCCCAAGAATTATTGCCAAGATTATTGACTAAATTCTAAGGACACTGAAGGCAATTGGATTTACCAAGCTGCTGTTCCATTTGTTGAAAAACTGACTCCTCAGAGTAGGATAAAGACCTTAGAAGAAAGTCTCTATAATCCTTAGCCAAAGATTGGCTGAGATCAACCAAAACACTGACCAAAGGTTCTTTGAATTATGGATATAGAAGGTTTTTGTTATTTTCATCTGCGATAGTGGGTATTATTGTGGAAGAAATAGCCTTTTGAAGAAATGCCCTGTTCATTACTCTTTCTTATACTAACAGGATCAGATGTTAGCAGGTATACTACTGACTAGCAAATAGTTTCTTTCCAGCCATTTTTGGGGCACTCAGGAAAAAAGGTGAGCATTTTGGTTTCTCTATGACTATAAATTAATAGTAACTTCAGTATTATTTCTGTGGTTTTACATTTTTAATTTTAGCATTTTATATATTTTTTTTATTTCAAAACTTATCAATTGACTGAAAAAAATCTCATAGGCATCCTTTTTGAAATTTAGGCTCCTCTTTGTTTTATATTCTGCTTTTTTTTCGACCTGTGTGGCCAGTAGAATGCTGTTTTACCCATTTACACTAAGGTCTAGTTCTTTGCCTCTGTTTTCCTGCACAGAGCTGTCAGATGAAGGGTTGAATTGTAGATAATTCGGTTCTGCATATGTGTCCTTTGTAAGTAAGGACCTGAATGTTATCTCCCTTAGGGCCCTCCCTTCTGGAGCACCCTGGACTTCTACACACACTCACTTTCACACTCCCCCACATCAAACCACCTCCTACCGTCTCAGGCCTTCCCTGGCAGCCCAGCCTCCTGTGGCCAGCTTTCATTCACCTTTCCCCTGCTGGAAGAGTCAGTCAGGTCTGTGTCTGATAATGGCGGGACCTCCTGCTTTGCTTCTCTTATTTAGCAGTAATTCCACTTTCGAATAGAGAGAGGAAGAGAGAAAGAGAGAGAAAGGGAAAGGGAGGGGGAAGGGAAGAGAGAGAGAACACGTGTCATTAGGGGAACACTTTTCATTTTTTATCTTCTAAGTGCTTAAATACTTTTCAAACATAAAATGTAGTTTGAAAATGGAATAATGTCCCCATGGAGTTTTTACCATTAAGAATGTGGCCGATGAACTAACAATTGAAGATATTGAGTTAGATAAATTTAAAAAAAAACACACATACTATTCTTTAGAACGGTTATAGGTTCGTAGCAAAATTGAGAGGGAAGTACAGAGATTTCCCATATATCCCCTGTTCCCCCATGTGCATAGCCTACCCCATTATCAACACTGCCACCAGAGTGGTACTTAATACTGATAGATCATCATCACCCAAAATTGATAGTTTACATTGGGATTCTTCCTTGTGTTGTATATTTTATGAATTTGGACAAATTTATGATGACATGTGTCCCATTATAGTATCACACAGTAACTTCACGGTCTTCAAAATTCTATATGGAGCTATTTAATTTTAAAATACATTTCAGTTTTTATCTTTGCAGTTTCCCAGTATTGTACAGAAAGAAGCACTTCATTCAAATGCACAACCAAAACTATCCAAATTGGTTTAAGTTTATTTTTGAAGAATTCTGGCCACTAATATGAGATGAGCTACATTTGATTCTAGACAGAGCTTTCAATTTCAAGTGGAATAGGAAATGTAGATATCTAGTTTAAAAAGTCCTTTAGATAAAAGCATTCCCCAGTTTTACTTTCAGAGTCAAATAAATTTCCAGATGTCTAACAAAACAAAACTCCTTAAACTGACACAGCATTCGGAAGCTTGAGTGAAAGAAAACACTTAAGATTAATGGTACTGATCATTGTGATAGCCTGTTGTTTTAAATAGTGTCCCAATTTTATTTATTTCAAGGGCAGTCTCTGCTTGCCTGTCAAATATAGCAATTAATTGGCCTGATAGAAATTCGACATAGACAGTATTTCCCTAAAGCAGTTACAACACGAAAGTACATAGGAGGCAGCCTGTTAGTCCACCTTTGACTAAAATGGAAATTTTGAAAACATCATTGATCTTCAGTGTGCATTTTTGTTTTGTGATATTTTTTAATTGTAGATTTTAAAATGGCTGAACATTAAAACATAACAGCTTAAGGTATAATTCATATGCTGTATAAGTCTTCTATTTAAAGTGTACAATTCATTGTTTTTTAATAAATTCAGAGTTCTGCAGCTATCACCAGAATTTAATTGTGGACCATTTTCATCTCCTAAAAGAAACTCGATACCCATAACGGTCGCTCCCCATTTATTCCCAACATCAGCTCTAGGCAATCACCAATATATTTTCCTTCTCTATAGATTTTTCTGTTCTAGACATTTCATGTAAATGGAATCGTATGATACGTAACCTTTTGTGTCTGGCTTCTTTCACTTAACCTGGTGTTTGCAAGATTTATCTATATCGTAGCATGTATTTATTATTTCTTTTTTTTTTTACTAAACAGTATTCTATTATATGGAGTTATCATATTTTGCTTTTTTGTTTATCAGCCAGTGGACATTTGGGTTGCTTATACTTTTTGCCTGTTACGAGTAATGCTTCTAGAACATTCTTGTACCAGTTTTTGTATGACTGTATGATTTATTCTCTTGGTATATACCGAGGAGTAGAATTGCTGAGTCATATGGTAACCCTATGTTTAACCTTTTGAGGAACTGCCAGAATATTTTCCAAAGAAGCTTCACTATTTTATATTCTCACCAGTAGTGTGTGAGCATTCCAGGAAATTTAAACTTAAGTTTTTTAAAATTAAAGGATAACATATCTTCCTTCTGGCAAACACTACAGATTTAAAATCCAATGAGAGTCTTTTTGAAAACCGGAAGTTTAGATCATGGAGGGTTCTGTAGGTTTGCATTTTATTATCACTAGAAATATATTAATATTCAGTCATTTAAAATAATTTCCTTTTTTACCTCTATCCCATCTATTTGTAGTGAAATAAACAGTGTTGAGGAAGTAAATCGAGGGACCTGGCGGTGGGCTTTCTTTGTTGTATTATTGGCCAATAGAAATGTTGTTTAGTGTCTGAAGAGCTTAAGCTTTCAGACCTTGGTTCTGAAAGCATTTTCTCAGAATGAGCAAGAGGGATTCTGTTGCCTTAGAAATTTGGCAAGAATGATTTATATTTTCAGATTCCTAAAAATGGAAGACCACCATCATTTTTGTGGAAAGCAAAAGAGAAAACCTGAGAGTTGGTGAAAATGGACAGCTTTCCTTCATATTACAATGAGAAAAGGACAATTCAAAACTCTTAGAAAAAAAGTCTTAGAATATACTGCCAACAATTGATCATAGCGTTGGAGAACTTTTATAGATGGTCACACTAGGTATTACTATAGTGTGATACAGCCTTGCACTTGTGGGAAACTTTTGGAATGTCAAAAAGCTCATCTGTGTCATCGTATTCACTTGCCTGCTCCCCAGTATCCCTCTGGACTCCTTGAACCGTGGATTCCCGGTTATCTGCTGTTTCAGTGGTCCCATCCATCGACCACCCCCTCGGCCAGTCCCTACTCTTTGAGTCTTGTGGACACCTTTCTGACCCATCTGTTGTTTTTGCTAGGCCAGCGTTCTTCAAAGCTTCTTGGCCTTTGAAATCACCTATAGAGTCATATGAGATAAGATTATTCCTTTTATCTCTGTCAGCATCCTTTCCTTCCTCTTTCTTCTTCTCCCAGCCCCTAAATTTTTTGCTTTATTGCTGACTTCTCTCTTTGTTTTATACGAGGGTCTAATCTGTACTTCTAAGATAATGAGGACTCTGAAGTTTCTCAAAGGACTGAAGTTTACGGGGAAGGGTGCACAGGGGAATGTCAGCTAACACCTTGTGCAGGATACTATAAATTCTACACCTCTGCCAGATGATCTGGACTCTGAGCCTAGGAGTGTTCCATGTTGCGCTGTGAACCAAAGGAGCAGAGTAGGTGTGCCTGTGTGCCCCCCGTGGTTCTAGCTGCTGTCTCACTGGTTCTTGACTTGTCAGGGTTCTTTTTGCCATTGTCACAAGCCACTGTGTAAGTGTAGATCTGCATTTCTGTCTTAGTGTGAAGGTGTCTTACTTTTCAGCTTATAAAAAAATTCAATGTGACAACCTTTTGACTCCCCTAAGAAAATTCACATAAATATCGATCCCCGTTGCTGAACCAAATTACATATAAAACCCAGTTTACTCTCGTCTGTTATGTCTGTTGGCGGAGTTCACAATCTGTATTCTAATCTTATTGTGCCATACCACTGCTTTTCAGAAAAAATGTATAAGAAACTCTTAAAGTAGATTATAAATACCTGGCTTGTCAAAAGAAGATATTGATTCAGTATTATAGTAATAGCACATTTTCTGATTTTTATTGGCAGTAAGAATTCTTAGTGCTTTACCATCCAATGTCAGTTCAATCCAATGTAAACCGATAGATGGACTCAGTATTGATTTCAGCACTTGTAACACTACTCCCTGTTTTTGCACCACCCTTTTCAAGTCTGGTCCAGAGGTTTGGGGGTTTATCTAAAATATAGAATACGAATTAATTCCAGGAAGCAGATTGGATTCATCAAACGCCAATCAATATTTGCT